GACGTAGGAGGAATTGACATTGCGCCGGAAGAGATCACGTCAGGATATTGGATGGCTGAATGCTTCGGACGTCGGGCATCGAGCCAAGGAGAGCGAAATTGCGCCAAGGATATCGGGGTTGCGGAGATCAACCGCCGATTGGGCAACAAGCCACAAGAGAGGACGATGCACCGAAGAATCGGACGAAGCGCCAACCAATGACGTGCCGGGCAACAGAATGTCAATTCGCGTTGTAATAATTGTCTAGATCGGAGTTGAGTTTTGGTTTGTGTGTGCAGGATTAACTACGATAACGATGAAGACATAAAACGAAACAAAGTGCTGGAGTCAAGCGCGAAGGATTCGTTGGGAGTTCGAGAGTTCGACGGAAGTCCGAAGGTTCGTCGGGAATGCTGCCGGAACTAGCCGAGAATGAGTAGGGAGCTTGCCGAAGGGTTTTTCGGAAGCTCGCCGGAAGGTTCGTTGGAAGTTCGCGGAGCTCACCGAGAAAGATCGGAGCTTACCGAAGCTCATTGGAACTCGCCAAGATCAAATCGTGAAGTCTAGGAGCTTGCCGGGAGTCCGCAGAATGGTTTCCGAGAGTTTATCGGAAGACCGTCGGAAGTTCGTCGGAAGCTCGTCGGAAGAAGTCTTGACTTACGGACTTTATAATAGCTTAGAAAATGTCTTTAAATTTGTAGTTAGCACATTACTTAGGGTTAGGATTAGGTGTTAATCCTATAACCCAAGTAGGGGCCAATTGGGCCCGAGTTCGGACTGGTTTGGGCCAGGTTTGGAGCCCAACCAGTGAGCTGAATTGGCCTAGGCGGTGGCACCGCCCAGGCTGGGTGGTGGCACCGCCCAGCACCCGAGAGCTGGGCGGTGACACCTCCTGGGCTGGGCGGTTGCACCGCCCAGCACCCGAGCGCTAGGAGGTGGCACCACTTGGCTGGGCGGTGGCACCGCCAGCATCGGGAACATAAGAGAATTCAAATTTTTGGAGCCCAAATTTGAATCCTCTTGAGGCCTATAAATACCCCTCAAGTTTCAGCTGAGAATACAACTTTTGAGTAGCAAGTGATTGAGAGAAAAGTCTTAGAAGAGTCTTTGCCTTTCTTGTTTTCAATTTGCTAGTGTTCACCTCCTTCTTTCTTGCTGAAAATCTGTAAGAGAGTGAACCGCTTGTAAAAGTTGTAAGAGGGGTATTTACCTTTCCCTTTCAAGAGATTTGCTAGTGGAAGGTGGGAGCCTCATCGAAGAGGGGCCTCGCAAGTGGATGTAGGTCACTTGACCGAACCACTTTAAAAACGGCGTAATCTCTGGTTTGCATTTCATTACTGCTATTTACATTACTGCAAACCCTCTTACTTGCTTTATTTCCTCGTTACATTTACTGCACAACTTTGCGAATACGCTTTCAATTTAAGCACTTCCGATTCCGATTTTTATCGTACGAAAGATTTGTCGAAACCAACGTTTTAAGCCGCTGCACTAATTCACCCCCCCCCCCCTCTTAGTGCCGCTCCGATCCTAACAGATTGTTCCGTCAACTCAACCTCATAGTGGAGCATTGACGGAGGATAAACATTTCACGCATGCCATTGAAGATTCAAATCACGGAGCTTGAGGATCCACATGTATCGTTTATGGTCGAAAGGATAAAGGAAAGGAGAAGCCAATAGATGACTTTGAGCACATGCGATAGCATGGTTCGCCTTACTAGTTCGTGCCGATGTATCAACCAATTGTCGATACGATACGTACCGAGCTATACTGAGTCATACCGAGCATACCAACACATGGTACATGGGAACGTACCGATGTACCACCGTTACATGACCCCCTGTCGAACCAGTACATACCGCTCGGTACACTATAATACAACGAACCTTGTGCAATAGAGCCTCTACAATGTCAACACAAATAGGATCCTATGCCCAAAACATGTAAGATGATAGCCAGTCATTTGTTCTCAAGTCCGATTGTTCTGATGATATATAACAATAGGTTAATGATGATAATAGAGGTTCCAATGTACTCCAACCTCCCTACCATACATGCCAAAGTCATACTTGCCTCAAGAGACTCCTCAACATGTGTTGTTAGTGATAATCAAGCAATAGCTATTACTACATTAATGCATCAATGAAATATGATTTATCAATACAATATATTGGGAGAGCAGTTTCAAGATTGAGTCCAATAAACATACCTTATTGTTATACAAATTCATAGGATCGAGGATCCCGATCTATCGGCTATGAAGTCTCATCAATCATTTTGGTGGTAGGAGGTATATATGACTTCCGTTTATTTGGATAAAGTTTCCACATATAATCTACCGTCTCTAACTCGTATTTAGGTGATTCAAGATCAACGGAGGATCATGCCACAAAGTTACTCCTCGATGATTCAAAAAAGATAAATCCACTTTCTCCTCGTAATAACCAACAATTCCTATTCATTTATGACTTATTTACACTATTTTTATCAAAATACAAATACAAATACCATTAAATTAGGACAAAAACCATTAAAATGGTTTTTTTTTTTACTTTCAGCCATTTTTTGGCCCTTTTCCCTAAAACTGTACCCACATATGGTACAACGATACCAACTAGTAAATACCAATCGGGCCTAGTACTAATACCACTGATCAACATGAGACGATGGTCCTTGATGTCAACTCATTCAAGGGTTGTAGATCCAAATTCCACTCCCATGGCACTTGGAGTCCCATTTCTACCACTTATATACATGTTAGAGGGAAGGCATCGGGTAACTGGAGATGAATGTGTATTTTTTGGGTGTCAACAAAAAAGATTCCTGCTTAGTTTCTATATTTTTGAACTTTTTTATTTTTTTTTCCCATGTGACAGCACATTGCTAATAATCTCTACAGCATGCCAGCAGATACCATTCCACAATCCAGTCAGCATGGATAATGCTAACTTCCATAATGGCCCATGCTGAACATATCAATATTATCAATAAAAGGACCGCAAATTAAGACATCCATAACATCAACATAAGCCAATTTATTCGTGATGTCACAGATGAAAAAAAAGTTGTTTGTTAATGAAGATTTAGAAAAAAAAGGCATTAAAATAGCTTCACTAGAATTACCAGAATTTGTTGTTCAGCTGCTGCTATGCTCAACAATTGTGCATCATCCTTCTGAGAAGCTGAAACTCCGACATAAAAAGAGAACATGAATCAACTATTTCAAACAAAAATTTGTAAACTGATACCAAGGATCAGTAGACTTCTCATCACCTGAGTTTTGTTTTCCATTATGTTCAACCTGAAAAACAGTGTCAGATAAAATTCCTTTGTTAATATTAAGAAAATAAAAGGGGAAATGCATATAAAACAAATTCTTAATACTCAGCAAAAGAAAGAGACAACCAGTCAATCATAAATGAATAAAAAATAAGGTTTTTACAAGTAATAAAATGTACTATGCAACCCATGACATTTACAAAGCCTAATCCCCAAGAGATGCAGCCAAAGAAGTATGCTACTAGCAAGTATAAGAAACCAGGCAATACAAATCAACACTTAATTTAGAATACATTATGACATTTGTTACACCAGCAACTTGATAGATGCTAAAGGCATGAGCACATACTCGATAAATAGGAGCATAATGCCAATTGCCAGCATCTCAACTAAAATCTACCTAATAGAATATGGACCTTCTTTAGGTTCACATAGGAATAAAAAAACAATTAGATTTCTCCATACTAATCCCTTTCTGCTACTTTGTGTATCTTGAACTCAGACTCCAGAAGTTCGAGTTAAAAGGGAGAAATCTGGTATGGATTTTTATTGCTTTCTACAGCTCCTATGACAACCGTAGCATTGAGCCCATTGATCACCTCATCCATCATTATGTTGCTAGCCACAATCATCTAAAATGTCCTCCTAACCTATTTCCTCCAAAACTCTTCCCACTTCTCCCACTCTAGGTTGGTCCAACAAAAGAGAAAGTCAATGTTAATCAGATAATCTCGGTTTATTATGGTGTCTTGACAAACCTAGAAGAGGAGCACTGTAAACTATTGAGTCAATCACGATCTTGCAGATATCCTCCATGGTTATAATCGGTGGTTATATAACCATTACATGAATAGACCATCTTTGATGATTCTCCCTCCATTAGGCTACACCTACTCTCTTTCTCAATTAAGCATCCTAATCGATGATTAGAGCTTACCATCGTTATCATTCATGATGTTCAGGGAGCAACCATTACCATGCTAATGCACAAACAGCATTCAAGTTTACCAATAAACTATGTCATGGGAGCAGTCTCAAGATTAGGTCCGACAGACATACCATATTGATATACAAATTCAATGGCATGCTATTTCCATGCTGATGCACCAATGGCATACGGTTTACCAATACACTATGTCATGGAAGTAATTTCAATATTAGATCTAATATACGTATCATATTGATATACAAATTCATAGGATCGAGAACCTCGATTTATTGGCTATAGAATCTCATTGTTCAACTTGGTGGTAAAAGCAGGTATATACAATTTGCTTCAGTTTAATACTTTAATAGACTAAAATCTTCAAGTTTTTACATGTAACCCAATGTTGCTCATACCTTTGTAAATGATTCAACATCAACAATAGAAGAAATGAAAGAACATGCAACAAAGTTGCTCCACCATGTAAAAAAAGATAAATTCGCTATCTCATCCTTATCTTGACTCTATTCCAATGATTTAAAAAGCACTAGGCGCCTCCAAAAACGCCCGAGGCACTAAGCGCTCGCCCAAACGAAGGGAGGCACTAAAATATAAAAATATATAATATAATTAATAAATATAATTATTTAAATAAAAAATATGCTATTAAATTAAGAAAATCGAGTACAAAATCATAATAAATAAATAAATCATAATAGTATATTTTTTATTTTTTTAAATAAAAAATTTACTATTAAATAAATAAAAATTAATAGTATTAAAATCAAAATAATATATTATTAATCTAATAAATAAAAATACTATTATTAGTATATAGTTAGCAGTTTACTGTTAATATACTGTTAATAGTATAGTGAGAAGAGTGTGAGAAGACCGAGGCTACTGAGGCAACGATAGCGGTAGCAGACGACAGCTGTAGCTAGAGCGGGAGCAACGAGCGACAGCGGGAGTGGGAGCAGGAGCTGCGAGCGGCAGCAGGAGCGGCGACAGCAGCGGCAAGCAGCGATCGTGGCAACGACGAGCAGTCGACGAGCAACGATTGTGGCAGCAGCGAGTAGCGACGAGCAGTCGACGAGCAACGATTGTGGCAGCAGCGAGTAGCGACGAGCAGCGACAGTGGCAGCAGCAGCAGAGAGAAGCGACATCGGAGAAGAAATCTCGGAAGCAAAATCGCGAGTGTCAAGGTTTGGGAAGTCGGGGAAATCGCGAGAGGGAGCCTGATATCGGTGATTTAGTTGGTTTGATTGAACCAACTAAAGCACCGGAGACCAACCAAACCTAAAAATCTAGTTCGGTCACCTGATTTAACCTAGGCGCTCGCCCGAAGCGCCCGACGATTGGGCTTAGGCGAGCGCCCATGCGGCGCCTCTTTGGCCTCGCCTCGCCTGAGCGCCTAGGCGAGCGCCCGAGCGCCTTTTGAAATCACTATTTTATTCTTATTAAAATTTAATTAAAATTACATTAAATTATAATTAAAAGGCTCTAAAATAGTTCTTTTTTTAGTTTTTAAGTATTATTGGGGCTTTTCTGATGATTTTTGGGTTTGTCAATACATACTGACATACCAACATATGATATGCCAGGTTTCTTGATACCAAGGATTGAAATATCGTACCGTACCGAAGTTTCGACATTCTCTCGATACGTTACAGTACTGTATACCGAGCAGTTTATCACTCGATATATATATATATATATATATAT